GAGGTGAGAGAGCGTGGACGGGCGGAATCCGGCCGGAACGGCTCCTGTGGTTGCCAGCACCTCCACTGTGTCATTCTGTTACCAAAAGAAAAAGGATTTTAGTGTTCTTGCTGTTCAACAGCTGATTTTACCCTCGTTTAGAACTCCCACACAACCAGCATCAAGAGTCTTGGGGCATCAGTCACCTCATCTGACACCAGCCTGGCCCATCCTGAGGAGTTTTTGCTCCGTTTCACATCCGGGCCAATCCAGGCTCCCAAATTGTTAAATCCCTTTTCTCTTCCATTCCAGAGCAGCCAGGTAACAAAATCACACCCTTGACAAAGCAATGGCACAGTACCACTGTGGCCAAAGAGCCAGAACCACCTCGTTCATGTCCATGGGCTGGACTGCAGCCTACTCCTAAAGCACCAGAGAACATTTCTGGAGCATTCCTTGCTACAAAACAATTGGAATAGAGACCTTAAATAAGAACAGTGGTCTGCAAGAGGTCAGACAGTGTTTGGGAAAAGGCAAACCTTGTCTACAAGATGACTAACACTACAGGAGATGAAGTTGCTGTGTAAGAGATCCACCTACCTCTGTCATAGCTCTCCTTACAGCACTCCAGTGAGAATCTGTTCTGGAAAAAAAACCAAAATCTTTTTTATAAAATATCATCCGTGCATGGACAAAAATTTAAACCCTAAATACTGCTTTATTTTTTCAAATAGCAGCAGCTTACTAAGCATGGCTGACTGAGGTACTAATAATAACCTGTTTCCAGCCATTAAGATCATCTCAAGAGCTGGGATATAACAATGCAAGACCAAATCATTCTTTGATTTCATGAGAGGGCAGAAAAAAAACCCATAAGGCAAACCAAAGAAAGATTCTCCAACAAACCCACTCACATAAAAGTGTGCCTGCAAACTGGAGAAGGAGCAAGTGAATGCTGCACTGAAAAGATAAATGCAGAGACCCAAATAACCAGGTGAGAGATTCTTACTGTAAGAAACACACTGCCAGATTAAAGGAGGAGGAAGAATAATTTTAAGCTTATTTGCTTCCCCATCTTTCCATTTACCTTTTTTTAATTGCAGTTCCATCTGCTGTTTCATCCACCACTTCTGTGTGCTCCTCACTCTGCTCTGAGCTTTCACCATCTCCATGGTGGACCTGTGATTCAGATTCAGAGCTAAGATCCCCACACACAGCTATACAAACGTTGTGTTATTCCCAAAAAACAGGCAAAACACTGCACTGTGTCCCCATGGAAGCCCTGTGGTCAGTCTAAGCAGCTGTATTCTCATCAATAGACACATATAAACTCAGAGGGGTGAGCCTGGGGCAGAAGGCTGCAGCACACTCACCGCAAGGTAGGTCCTAGGAACCAAGCCTCTCTCCCCTCTGGAGTTCTCAGCCACCCACCAGCCATCTGCCTTCTTGTCGTGGATAAGGAGGACTTCACCTTTCTTTGCCATCAGGAGACAAAGATAAAAGACAACTCAATATTTCCAAACAGCTCCAGGCACAGTTGGAAAAAAAAAAAACCCACACAAACCCTTTTAATTTTCCCTCCCCAGAGTGCAGCAACAGATGCTGCCACTTCAGGAGGTGGCAAAAGGGCCCAGACCCCACCGAGCCACATGTTCACCAGGAAAAGCTGTTTCTCCCCAAATCCCACACGGACCCAGCTGAATCCCAGCAGCACAGGATTTACTTATGGGGACTGCTCAACACAATGATCTGCAGCCAAAACACCCTTCGGGACGTGCTCACCGTCAACGCCAGATCCCCCTCCTGCTGTGCACTCAAGTGCCCAACTGCAACACATTCTTTAACATCTGGATCATCCAACAGTTTGTCCTCCTCCTCTTCCTCTTCACTGTCTTCCTCATCACTGCTCTCTTCATCTTCACTCTCATCCTCCTCTTCGTTTTCATCTGCTGTTGGATCTTTCTGATGCTCTGCATCCCTACTCAAAATAAATCAAACTTTTAAACCATTGTTTCAACAAAACCTCTTGAAATCTCCAGAGCTGCTCTGCCAGCACACCACCCACATACAGAACATTCACTCCTGTGTTTTACTCTGTCCCAATCTGGAAAAACTCCAGAATCCCAGTGGGGTCTCCTCCCCACGTGCACGGGCCCTGCTGCATCCTCTCCACAGCCACGTTACACTTCAGCCATTAACCAGCACCCTCAGAAAATTCCAGCTCCTCTTTCCTGACTGCCTCAAGAGAAGCAGCCCCATAAGAGCTGCCTCCCAGCACATCTTGTCTGACTGTGTGTTAAGACCATAAAGGGGATGAGCTAACAGTTTGTCAGGGTCCTTTCCAGCCGTCTGGGTACAATTCTGTAGCAGCACAGATGGTGTCTGTTCCTTTAAACCCCTTACACTGGGTGATTTGTCGTCACGTCATCCAGGGCCAAGACACGAGCAAGTTTCTGCAGCTGCTGAGAGAGTTCTAGCAAGAGCTTTTCTTCTTCTTCCTTCCTCTGGCTGTAGTTCCCCACAGGCGCAGGCTCGTCAGCCTGAGAAAGAAGAACAGGACAAATTGCTCCAAGTTCCCCTATAAAGTCACTTTTCCAGACATGTTTCACCTTCCCAGGCTGCTGCTGCTCCCTGATCAGTGGCATATCCCTTGTCCTTTCATTCTGCCAAGGTGAAATCTTGTGGTAAACTGCACTGGGTCAGCACTTTATAATGTATTGGGTTGATACAGGCTTTAAACACAATAAAGCATTAAAAATATGGTTTTAAATAATAGAAGTGGATTTCAGAGATCCCAGTCAGGGATTGTGCAGTGCCAGGCTTTGCTCTTGGCCTGAGGTATCTAAACTGGAAGGAGGCTGGTTTGCTTTATCATGATAAGGGGCTTTTCTTTATCATGTGAGACTCTTTTATCAGGGAGCATAACGATGTTAGGAGGGCTAACAGTTTCAAACTGGAGGAGGGGAGATTTGGATTAGATCCTAGGAAGAAAAATTCTTCACTGTGAAGGTGGTGAGGCCCTGGCCCAGGCTGCCCAGGGAGGCTGTGGCTGCTCCAGCACTGGAGGTGCTCAGCACCAGGCTGGATGGGGCTCTGAGCAACCTGCCCTAGTGGGAGGTGTCCCTGCCTGTGGCAGG